TCCCATAGCTTCAGCTGATCGGTGTATTTTTTTGGCCCGAAGGAGGAAGTCGCTTAGTAAGCGGGGGGAGTGGAATTTTTGTCTGAGATGTACTTTCGGAGTGACTACTAGCAGGATAGTCAGTTGACAGCTTTTTACGGACCGAAAAAAAGATATGTGATGAGTTTTGAAACATTTAGTCCCCTTCAACTTTTTTCTGAAAAATTAAGGAGTGTATTTTCAAAAGGTTATCCTTATTCAACGAAAAATAAAGAACTAATGTATATCATGCAAGTTCTTCTAGTACATTCTTTCTACTCTACAATCTGTATCTTTCTTTCAATCAATTCAGTATCAAATAAATAGAGTCGATCAACGACTGAGACGGGTTCAAGATGCAGCTGAAGCCGTCTCCCTAGCAATCTATCCTGATAGACTGCAAAACTAGGACAGTAGTTCTTTCTGTCCTAACGAACGAAAAACTATCAAACAATCCTCCCGCCGCACCATCTTGGTCAATTCCAAAGCCAAGACCGTAGTCCAATTAAGGATCCGAAATACGGCGGTAATTTGAGCACAGACAAAAAGTATGCGTATCTGTGCTCGTGACACCAGAACACCAAGGTGATTCATCGTGAACCCCTGTAGTCTTCACTGCGTCCATCAGCAATGCCCTCCGTTGAAAATAGCATGCCGTTCAGTAAAGAGGAGTTTTTGGGTGAGCCTCCTGAGTGCGTTATCCGGTTGTCAGTAAGATTTAGAACAACCTCGCTTCCACACAAGTTTGATCAAGGGCCAGTCTAGGATGATACTGGGACTGACCCTGGGGTTGGAGAGAGGGTGAGCAGAGGTATATATAGTGCACAGAGAGTGACACAAATGGTGGCGTGGGGGTCAGAAAAGGGTCAAAACAAAAGGGTGGCAAAGTCATCAAGTGAGACAATATTGATGGGTGAAGAAATACTACCAGGTAGAAGTGTAAGTCCGAAAATACCAGAACAATGAACACTCTAAAATATTTAGACCGTCGTATTTTCTTCTTTACGAGTAATATCACTTGTTTATAGGCCATCTTTTTACATACTAACCTCATCGAGCTAATGAAATTTAGTCACAAATGATTGGATCGACACAAACGATAGGATGATCACAAATCACTTGATGATTGCTCTGATCTTGGTTGCTCGGAGTTACCATTTCAGATTGCAAAAACCTCGCCACATGCACCTATGACTCCGCAGTTAGTCACGGAAAACAGTGGAAGGTTCAAGAGCCGAAGAAGATAGACTTTTGCCACAGCATGAGGGATGTGGGTAGAAACGGGCGGTTTTTAGTGGAAACTGGAATATAACTACATAGAAATATATCTTATAGTGTCATATAGGTAGATATAACTCCAAATTGTCATTTATCTACTATTATACACCTTTTAATGCCATCCTCTTCAGTCAAATATGTTCGCCACTTTATAAACTTTTCCGTATCTACACTCTAATCGCCTCAACTCCCAACTTTATTCTCGAAGATGTCGCCACACAAAGAAACGTATGCACGATAGTGCTCTTGGCGAGAACGTTGAGACATGTTTTAAATGACAGCCAAATGACACATGGCAAATATATGACAAAATATGACTAACTAGGGTGCGAAGTTATTACTTAGACACGCAGTAAGACAGTTTCACACCTGAGAGTGTTAGTGTGTGAGATTTAGAAGGAAAAGAAAAAGGGATGACATTAACAGGGCTCCAGTGAGCCCTTTGGGAGCAAGTTCCTGTAGGGTATGCAGTCAGAATTTCTACGGTTTGGGGAGTTAAAACACAGCCCCCAAGATACTTTCGGTAGCAGAGTTTGTTCTCTCAGACCTCGGCGAGTAAAAACGGTGGGAACCTAACTTGTACAGCTTTGCCAGAGATGGTGGAGCTTTAAAGGGTGGGATTTTGGTGCAGAGAGTTAGAAAAGAATGTTCATCTTCTTCCTCGGTTTCTACTCCTCTTTCTAGTGAGTCTAGGGAGCTGATTTGAGATTGATATTCGTTCTCATTCATGAGAACTACAGTATATCGGATTCCTTGCATTGGATAAGTTATTCCCACGTGTGGGTCTGAAGCTTACAATCCTGCAGTTCTTCTATCAGGTGGTCCAGTGCATAATTGTCTTAAATCACAGTGCTTTTTCCTTCCCTTTTTTCTCCGGTGGAAACCGCTAGACATATTGACAGAGTGGTACGTTGTCTTCAAGTCAATCTCTTCTCTTCTCATCCAGAAGATTGGTAGCTAGAGTTGGCTGTTGTATATACTGCTTGACCCTTCTACTCTCAAAAGACTGAGTATCCGTTATTGTTTATTCACTTCGCTGTCTCTAACTTTGTAAGTCAGTATTACCCTGAGAGCACTCAATGAAACTCTCTTGGACTGTTCGATCATCCTTTCTTCAACGGCCGGGAGTTATTCATGACTGTGTTAACTGGAAGTAGAGGATAGACATCCTCATATGTAACGCCTCTTGTAGTTGATTGCTGTTCCGTGTTCCTTTATGACTATACACCTAAAAGTACAAGAACCCATATAAACGATAGAGGTTGTTGATTATACACGAGTACATCAATCAAGAGTCTATTTTCAATCAGGAGGGGATACCCGGAGATTCTTCTTGCATGTCTTTTAGCTTATGGCTCTTATTCCCAGTCTTCCCGAAGCCTTTGAGCTGTCAAATAACATCTAACTAAATCCCAACTATTCTATTGACTATACTGAAAACATCTTGTTGACAAACTGTGCAAGCCACTAAAATACCTCAACCCCTCTGACGCCATAATCATACCAGAGACAGCGGCAAACCCTTCCAACATTCCCCAAATTATCAACATTTGTCTAAATAATAAAATATTTAAATAAAATAAAAACCCAGGAAAACACATGGGGCTCAGAAAACCTGGGGAAATGCGAGATATCCAAATTAGACTTTTTTGACCCTAGAGGTGCAGATGTACACTTGTTGCAGATGTATACGTATTGGTGGGTATAAAGGAAGTTATATATCTGTATATACACTATCAGTTTATTCGTTGATTCTACACCACTCTTCCTGCCACATTTTCCCTCCCCAAGTGATATACATTGTTGTGTTTCAGCTAAGACATTATTTACTCCGATCCCAAAGTCTATTTCCAGGAGCCAACACCACACACGTTTCTCCACGTGACTCCAGACTCTCCAGGAACCCATGCCAACAACGCTCAACGACCTCCCCGTTGAGATTGTCCGCATCCTGGCCCAGCACGTGCCCTCGACGGTTCTGCGAGGCGTCAACAAGCGGCTTTTTCTTTTTGTGGACGTTGTATACGAGGACTTGTCGCGTGCTCGATACGCTCAACTGGGCAACAGTGTTTGCTGTCCAGCCATACGAAGCTACCACAACCACATTTGCAACCGCAATCACGAGGACGGCTCGCGGATATGGAAGCCGGAGTCCGAAGACGCGTTTCCGGAAGGCTCGTGGTTTTTCATCTACCATTTCATGCTGAGAGATGTGCACTATTTTGACGCTCAAACCATCCAACGAAGCAGCGAATTGGAGCGCGAAAAATGCGACTATTACGACGAACTGTCCGACTTTCCAGCTGCTGGCACCTGGAAGTACTTCACAAAGCCCAACGGCTGTCCGGGGCTGTTTGCGGCCAACGTGCACTGGATAGAAATCAGATACGAGGCCTATCTGGCGTCTGGAGTCTACGACGTGTTTCTCAATTTGCGCACCACAGACTTCCAGTCGTTACAGCCGCTGTGCTACCTGGCCATCGAAGTCACACCTCCACAGGACGCCATGGTCCGAAGACCCCCCATGAGCGACCTGTCCTCTCTGGGAATGTTGCCCGAGGAAAAAACAAACAACAACCAAAACCTGATTCTCAATCTGGGACGGGTTTCGGTGCCGGAGACGGCGGACAAAAAGTGGAACCGGCTGTGTGTGGGCATCACGGACCTGTCCAACTCGATCAAAAGACGTCTCATTTTCAACAGTCTGCAGTTTAGAGCAGTGTTGGACAACCAGCAAAAACGCGCCATCAAACCCAGCGAGTACATTGAGGAGACGGACGACAGTCACACATGGTGGAGTGTGGATCGCACCACCGTGGAGGAGGAGGGACTCATGTGGGCAGCCTACAAGGAGCTCAATGAGCTGAAGCATGACTATGTCAAGAAGGAGGCGGCGTGATAGGAGGCAGGATGACTGAAATGCGGGTAGCCAGTGACTCCATGGCAACGTTACTAACGCGATGCCTACAGTTTGGTTATTGAGCTGTGGCTGTGTAGCTTCAGCTCTAGCTATTGTAGCCTCAGTATAACTACAGGTTCAGCCTTGCTATAATAGCTCCAGCATAGCTCTAGACTTTGTTATAGCTAGCTGATATAGCCCAGACGAGTCCTACCCTCGTCACATCTCAATATATAGCATTAATTGGTTTTCGTTACTGTTTTCAGAACACCAGGATCTCTCCAGTCAGCTAGACATCATCCTAGTCGCGTTTTGTAGCTGAATCAAACCAGAAAGGGTCTGAAGATGGAATAATAATGTGGTAGCGTCTTCTTGTCATTAGGAGTAGTGGTGCCGTGTATAAAACATGTATCCTGTGCATCTGTCTGGAGGGAGGTTGGAAAGTAGTTGGAACAAAGAGACAGGATAAAGATGTTCTGGTAATTGGGTATATTTATAACTATATTATATTTGAATTGATGTCTGCAGCTTTTGATTACCAAAAACCTGAACCTATCCAGTAAAAATTGGCACTTTTGTAGCTCTGTCAAAAAATGACTTTTTCGGTGTGCTCCAACAAGAACGTATTTTGCGATTGGGAGGAGCTAGTCCTTGGGAGAGGGGCTGACAGGCAACTTCAGAATCCTCATTATCACCTCCAATACCACTTACCTCAATTAAACACCCGTAAACACGTAAAATTCGAGCGGCAACATTTTGCCAGATTTCACAACTATGTGGCAAATTTTCCTGAAATTTTAACCCTGTCCCGGTGGCCGAGTGGTTAAGGCGTTGCCCTGCTAATCTGTTAGCTGTCAGGCAGTGGGTTATGCCCGCGCAGGTTCGAATCCTGTCCGTGACGATATTTTTTGGGATCAGAAATATACGAATCTTTTTCTAGTGTGACCAAATTCCTTTTTTTTTGGTTGAATCGGTTCTCATTTCGCGTTTCTACCATTTGCATCAGGTATTCGTTATAGTTGCCTTTTTCAGAATATTTAAGTTGATTTTCTCTAAAATGGAATAAATTAATTAAATGTATAAATAAAACTTCAAAGCCGATCTCCGTCCACCTCCCAACTACCTCCTCATGGACTCTCTCAAATACCTGGCTTCACTCTTTCTTCGCAGGGCCTTTCCGTATTTGATCAGAGGAATAGTGAGACCCAGGGGAATGAGAGAAATGCATGCAACGGTGATATACACGTTTTGAAGACCCACTTTTTCGATCCACGGAGTCTGGGCAAACACCATGATCATTCCAAACGCGTTTCTGACCACAATGACTCCGATAAACGCGTCGGCAACAATGTTCTTGTAGCTGTCCAGCAGATAGGTCAGAACAATGGCTCCAGAAGAGCCGAAACCAAACATGATGATGGCAAATCCAAGAGTGGGAACCATCCAGTGGACTCCATGGGCCGTGGGGATTCCAAAGAGAAGCAGTCCGATGGTTAGAGTGATATTTGCGGGAATCAGACTCCACAGTCTCATTTCCGGCTCGTAGACTCCTCCGTTTCGTCTGGCCATCCAGATGATCATTTTATCGTTGAACCAGCCTCCGTAGATGGATCCTAGAGCCATTCCGATGAACGGAGCAATGTTGACGTTTCCAATAGCGGCTGAGGAAAAGTTGTATGGAGGTTCTGCAAAAGCTGAGGCTACAGTAGTAGCTGCCATAGCCAGCCAGGTGAGCATAAATCCATATTGGATGGCCACAAAGGTGACGATAGGGTACGCAAACAGCGTGATGAAGGGCGTGTACATTTTTCTGCCGAATTCTTTCCAACTTCCAGGAGTGTAGGTGACTAGAGCCAGTCGTTTAGACAGAGGGTTAGGAGTGTAAGTATGTCGAGAAGGGGTTTCGGAGTAATCATGGACCTTGTCAGACGACAGATCTGAAGTCTTAGACTCGGAAGATGTGTATTTCAAGTCTTTTTCGTCGTCCTGAGAACCCTCAAGGCCCTCTCCTACCCCCACCAAAGTCTCAGCTCCAGGCTGGTACTTTGTTTCTTCGAAAAGAACAATAGTGGAGAGAAATTGGACTCCAAAAATAATTGCAATGATTCCGTAGACCCATCTCCAGCCGAGATTCATGGTGATATATCCTGCTGGCACCATGATGAGAAAGTTGCCAATGTCCACTACAACCATGTAGATACCGTTACAGGTTCCTCTCTGGTGCACAAAGTAGAGGTCTGCCACCGTCATCTGAATGATGGTTTCTGTGACACTTGTAGCCATACCCTGGAGCAGATTTGCGCCGTACAGTTCTCCCACAGTGGTCATTTTAGACGACCAAGCAGAACACGCCAAAGCGAGAGCCGACGAAAACAGATAAACGGGCCGTTTTCCAAACTTTTCCGCAAACGGAATCATCAGCGGACATCCTAGACCCAGACCAGCAACTGACAGGGCGTATCCGTTGTTTAGTTCGTCCAGAGTCCATCCTAGTTCTTCGTTTTGAGGAGTCCAAAAGACGGTAGACACACAACTGGCAGTGAAGGCCATGAGGGTGAAAAAACAGACAATGAAGAAGTTTGTGTGTTTTCTCAGACTGGACCAGTTCAGCGGCTCATTCGGATCAGCCGTGGGCGTAGGATGGAGAATGATGGCATCCGAAGTCTCAGTTTCCAGAATAGTTGTTCCAGGCGGTTCGTGGGACATTTTGGAGAAAAAGAAGTTCAGGTGGTTGGCTGTCTCTCCGCTGCTATCCCGGGGTATATATTCTTTCAACTAGCTCGATCGGTTAACTCTGATCTCCCAAGTCTTATCATCATTTCCTAAAAAAGACGTTCTATGCGGCAGGACATGTAGAGTTAAGAACAGACAAAGACAAAAAGGCAACAGACAAAGAATCGGAAAATTTTGAAAAGTTGGAAATGGTGGAAAAGATGGAAAAAGTTGGTTTTTGTAGGGAAATCGGTTCTAGCTGATAACCATTTGTAACTCATCGCCAATATTACTGTTCATTCAACGTTCTGTTGTCGTTGCTATCTCTTTAACCTCATGCAACATGCTGATCACTGATATGAAAGGTAGAAACTGAAAAGCACGTGTATATCGGTGAATAATAGGTTTGTTGGAAATTTAAAAAGTGCGCTGAATTCCTGTCTTCCTGGAGAGCACTCGGATCAAGTTTCCGGTCTAATACCCACAAAACCCAGCTTTTTACCCCCACTCTCCCCCGCTCATTGGTCAACCTTGTATTTATGGGGTGCATTGTAACTGCAACTAGGACTCTCCAGTCGTCCGAGGAGGTGGCATAAACGAGGTGCGTATTTAGCGAGGTTTCGCTTAGCTCTCGTGTACAGTGCATCAGCCTCATTACTCCGCCACTTCCGAGGATTTGTACTGGTTTTTGGCCAGAATTTTTACTATGAAAAAAAACGAATTCTGACCAAATCACAGAGTATAGATATGGTTATAGAACTGTCACGGATACGTTGTCGCTATCAGAGACAGTTGAAGTCTAGCGTTGTACTAAAATTACGATACGGGCTGCTAACGCTCTGATAGATACTGGTGTCTCTACATTGAGGTACATTGAGCGGGGTTAAGGGAGAATTCAGGTTACAAGAATGTAGACGCAACTTAAGCTCTTCTTGTCACTCTTAGCTGCATGTCTGAAGCTGGTAGTGACGGTAAATCTGATCCATCTAGCTGATCTACTTGTACTGGTGCTTTTTATCTAGCTAGTCAACTTCTACTTGCACTATCTTAGGCGGCAAAAAGTTCCATATCTGAGACAAACACGGGAAGCAATCGAAAAGAATTGTGGGCCATTTTCTTGATAAAGGAATCCGCGTGTTCATGTCTCAAATATGGTTGTTTTGGGAAGTCTATAGACAACCTTTTTCAGAGTGAAGCACAGGTAGATATACTGGTGTTGTTGTTGTTAGAGGGTGCTGAAGTGACTTGTTGTACCACTCGGCTCTTATATATTCTCATTTAATATTCCCATTCAAAATATCACCTCTTAGAACAACATCACCTCCCATCATTCAACGGACTCTGGGGAAGAAATAAGAATTAAAGTCGCGCTAGCGGAAACTAGTCCCATTTACAGCCATGTCTACGATAGCCTTTAGTGTTACTCCAGAACAACTTTCTGTCAATGATTCCATCAAACGGCTTACTTACTGAAACTGGTGTAGATAGGTATTCACGTAGCTACTGCCCCATAGATCTTTCAGGAGAACCTCATACCACTCTGAGAAGTTCATTTACAGTGTCTCGGGTCATTACTCTGTTCTGAGAGTCTCTATGGTTGCTTGATTAAGTTAGGAGAAGGTGTTTCAGTTCCGCAGGGTCAATAACCGCATTTTCTGTCCATCCAGAATAACCATGTTCAGAGGACAGTATTTAAAGTGAATAATGAGACCTCTAAATTGAAGTACAGATAACTGAAATGTCCATATACAGTACACACCATCCTAACAAAAAGAACAACTAGTTAGAAGAAGACAGCCACGAAAACACAACCACCTCTCCGCTTCGCTCGAGGTGGAAAAAGATTACAGCACCCAGGATTCTCGTATGGTCTCCCACTACAATACTAACTAGGCTCTCTGGTGATTGACTATGGCTGATCGGACGGGAAGCCGTATTTTCACCAGGATATGGCCGTAACCAAACTGCGCCGACCCGGAATCGAACCGGGGGCCCATCGATGGCAACGATGGATTTTACCACTAAACCATCGGCGCGGGAAGTTGAATTTTCGGAAAATGTGGCCACCACAATCATAATTCTGCTTAGTCATCGCGCCAAAAATTTCCCCATCTGTCACAAAATTACAAGAACTGGAACCTACATGCTATAGCCTGTTGCTCGACATAAAAGCGGAATAATAAACCCGTTTTTATTGTCGTTCCTCGAATAAACACGCTAATGGGACCCTACTGCGCGTTAAGACCACAAATGGATCTAAACAGTGTAACTAATTCGATTCCCACCTTGTCTCATTGTAGCGTGGCTATAAGCGGGGAAAATATCAACAAAAGACAACCCTACGGGTACAACAACCTCACGCATAAAAAGCTAGTTTTTTGACCCCGGGTTTTTACGAACATGTACAGTAAGTTGTACCGGATGCATCATGGAGAAGAGAACAAAGAGAAAAAAAAAAACAGTAGCCAACTATATTAAGAAGAAGTAAACGACAGTGTGTTTCTTTACTGTCAAAAACTCTGACTAATCAACTGATAATTATTATTTATTCCTTCTCACGTCTTCTACTTGCTCCCTTCCCCTTATCTTATCAGCCCCGGGTACAAGAACTGAGTTTGGATAGTGTGGGGGGAGGTGTTTCGGAAATCGATATCCGAGAGTCAAAGTAGAGCACTGAGTCACGTGAAGTGTGGGTATAAGGGGTATGTAAAAATATTTCCGTTACCATGGCAACTACGCCTACGGTGGCCCCATTTCCTGACTCTGACAGATCATTTCTTGGCTGCTTATCTCTGGTATCATAAAGTCGACTTGATTACAGACAAGGTCGTGTCTGGATTTTAAGCTTCACTATAACTGAAAGATAGCGCGTGTGCGTCGTGGCAGCATCAGAACAGAGGTATAGGAGAGGTTTTAAGGTCGTTTGAAGTGGTTGATCTGGTGGGAATATCGTTCCGAAAATACTTGCATCGTTTTCGCCCACCCAATCGGTTTCTATATCGCCTTTTTTCCGGCTCTTTTACGCCCTAATCTGGCCAGATTAACATGTCTCACTTAGATCCACAGCCTAACTTTCAGCGCTTATCCCCACCCATTCGGGAGTCTATATAATACCGGTATTTCCCTGAAATTTCGTGTACATCGACATGAAGCTATTTACGCGAAATTCAGCACCGCCAGAAGTGATTA